AATCAGTTTCATCTGCAGAATTAATGGTGGTTCCTTTAACACAAACACCACAGTTATATGTCTTTCTAGTACTAGTAAACTCTTCAGTCAAAAATTTAAAGCCGTTCACAAAGAACCCATTATAAACATTCACTTCAAAAATCGAGCCAACTGCAAGGTGGATAAGTTGTTCATTGATTTCATATTGTCCACTAAACACCTATAATTGAAAAAAAAAAATTAATTTAGTAATATTTAATATTTAATTAAAAATTTGAAAAAATAATATATAACAATTAATTACCATAAACCATTGAACAAAATTATTTGTTTGCAATCTTTATAGTTGTTCATGTGACAAATTTGCACCAACTTCTTCCTCAAATTTACTGTAAAATAACATTTATTTATTAATTAAAACGTTATGAAAATCATATAGGCTATTAAACATTGTGTAGTTCTTATTTTCCTAAGAAGTAAAACTTAGGTTACCCAAACATCAACCTCCTTGCAATTTAGCAAGACATATAGGTCAGATGCATCTTTCTCCTCCAATGTTAAACATCGTGTACGTGAGTGGGCCCCTATTGGTTCACCAAGGGAACAAAATACGGATAACTTACCTGGGACGTTGGTTCCAATGCCACCATAGTTCCTTGGAGGCTGATTCCAGCTTGTCTCAACATCATCCCCAAAATAACGAGAGCAAAAGTGGGATATCTCGTATAATATAAATGCCTCAACAATTGATGCGTCGACATGATTTTTATTCCCTATGGTACTCTTAAGTTTACGCATGCGCCTGAAAAGAAATATTGATAAGATTAATTTACAAAAAAGTAATCAAAAGTAAGTTTTAAAATTATCAATCAATTTCTTTGTATGCTTTACCTTTCAAATGGGTACATCCAACGAAATTGAACAGGACCACCAACTCTAGCCTCATATGGAAGATGAATTGCTAGATGTTCCGTAAAATCAAATAATGCTGGGGGGAATATTATTTCTAATTTACAAATTATTTCAACAATCTTTGCCTCTCACTTCTGCATCTCAGTAACTTTAATGACCGAGGAACAAAGTGAACGAAAGAAGTTACTAATGTCGGTCAAAGGACCCCAAATAGCAGATGGCAATAAACTGCGAAAAGCAACTGGAATTAGTCGTTGCATGAAAACATGACAATCATGACTTTTCATCCCAAATAACTTGGACTCATTCAAGTTGACACATCTTGATATGTTGGAAGCAAACCCATCTGGAAAGTGCAACTGTTTTAGCCATGCACATAGAAGCTTTTGTTTTACAGATGTTAGTGCATAACTAGCATTAGGTTTCACAAGCTTACCATGCGTATTATATCCCATGTGCAGTTTTCTTCGGTCACAATAAATGGCTAAATCCAATCTTGCTTTCCCATTGTCTTTTGTCTTATTGTCATTCATAACAGTATGTATTATATTATCAAAGAAATTTTTCTCACAGTGCATTACATCAAGATTATGTCAAATAAGATTATCATGCTAATAAGGAAGTTCCCAAAAAATGCACCTTTTCACCCAATTATGGATGTTCCCAAAACCCTCAATTGTTTGGTTTTCAAAGGGTTTCCCAAACAACACATTAGGAAGGTTTTCAACTCAGTGACGCATTGAAACACCATCCAATTGAGGAGGGGGACTGCCTAATTCAACCCGACCCTTCAAGAAATTACTCTGATCAAATATAAAACAATGTGATTCTGGTAAAAACTGACGATGACAATAAAAAAAACATGGTTTTCGACCATTTTGAAGATAAAAAGATTGTGTCATCTCCATACAGTAAGGACATGACAATTGGCCATGAGTGCTCCAACCAGCCACCATACCATAACCCGGAAAATCAATTATGGTCCACATCAACATAGCTCGCATTATAAAGTTTTGCTTACGATAACTATCATATGTTTCTACACTAGTCGACCACAACATTTTCAAGTCTTCAATTAAAGGTCGAAGGAAAACATCAATATTTTTGCCTGGGCTTTTTGGACCAACAATGACCAATGTAAGAAAAGTAAACTCTAGTCGCATGCACATCTCTAGTGGTAAATTATAAACAATTAAAAAAACTAGCCAACAAGAGTAGGAGGTTGAAGAATGAGCCCATGGGTTGAAACCATCAGTAGCAAGACATAATCGAACATTACGAGGTTCTTTTTTAAAAGAAGGATGCATTTGATCAAAATGTCTCCATGCTTCTGATTGTGCTGGATGAATGACCTCATCCGTATCACCACAACATTTCAAATGCCATGTCATGTGCTCAGCTATTTTTCGAGACATGTATAGCCT